ATATACTTCTGAGTAAAATTGGGTGAATGTAATAGCGCAACAAAACAAAGGAGGATCACAGAAATTGTAGCTCATCCATATGGGTTATATTGCTCTTTAGAAATTACTTTTGCTTACTCCCAAAACAAAAAGTAATGAGGACCTGGGAGACATAGTTCTCATGGGGAAATGTTTCAGGTGGAACTCCCAAGAGCCACAGGGTTGGGTTGGGTTTTGTTGTATTTTCAAATCTCTTGATGCTTTTTTTTTTTTTTAAATCAGAGATAGAACCAATAACTAGCCCCATTTAGGATGGAGCAGAGAAGCCACACTCTGCAAAGAGCCTTCAAGAACAGACCTTACAAGTCCTAAATCAGGGCGTTGTCTGCCCCTGGAAGGTTTTAGTTGCCTTCCAAAGTAAAGTGCTACTGGCAGAGCACTCTGAAGGTGCGTTCCTCAAGGCCACTCCACCTGCTCAAAGCCCGCACTGCTGCACCCTCGGGAATCTGAGAAAAAAGGCCTCCTCATCACCAGAACAACTCACAATAACTGCAAATTCACTCCAAGACTCATTCTCTTTTAACAATTCAATCAAAAACAAGATTTACTTTTTTTATTTGTATTTAATTTAATTTTATTTATTTTTTACAACTTATTCACTTTGTATCCCCTCTGCAGCCCCCTCCCTCCTCTCCTTCCAGTCCCACCCACCTTCCCTCTCCTCCTCTATGCCCTTTCCTTAGTCCCCTAATAGGGGAGGACCCCTCCCCTTTTATCTCATCTTAGCCTATCCAGTCTCATCAAGGCTGGCTGCCCCATCATCCTCTGTGGCCTGGCAAGGCTGTATCCCCCACTTATTAACCTCCTTCTAAGGACTTCTTCCTCACTGCAGCCAGAGTTAACACACTAGGCATATTGATTTTTACATTACCGTGGCCTTTTTCAGATTCAGAAACTTCTTCTGCTTATTCTTTGTCTCTTTAGAAGGTGATAAAGCAATACATGATTTCAGATTCCACATCACTATGCAAGCACTGTAAGAGGTAAGGCCCTTAACCCTTTCTTTTCTAATGAGACACTTAGTTTACATAAAAGCCCCGAGTGCCACATTTCCAGGGGCCTTTCTTTAAGAATATTCTTTTAATGCTAGGACACCAATAGAATAATCACACAGAAACAGTGTGACTTCTCTCTCCCCATACCAGGCAAGCTCACTTCAGTCTGCTTTTTTCTGCACCTCAGCTCAAGCTGCAAACAGCCTGAAAGGGCTGCCATCTGAATGTGGCTCTGAAAGCAGACCTGAGCCAGAATGGGATGCTTCATCCCCCAGCCCTAAGCAGTTCATATCTGCTCACACAAAGGTGTCCTATGTAAAATCAGCTTCAGTGCAGACATGCGGAAGAGGCCAACTGCCCCCTGATAAATGTAATACTGTGAAAGGCAAGAAGAGATGCCACACAAGGGGCTCAAAGAAAGTCAGCTTCCCAGGGAAGGGTCACAGCAAATGGTCCACCCTACGATCAACAGAGTCCTGCCCCCCTATTGCTTTGTCCACGCCACTCTCATTCAGTGCAGTGCCAGGCCACAGTCGTGAACCACATTGCTTGTTTTAAACGTCAAGTGTATCAGAGATGTTACCATCTTCTTACTTGCTTTGATTGTGTGTTTTCAATATTAAATTACAGCTACTGTAGAAGATGGCATTAAACAAACTAATTGTTATTTAAAACAATAAATTCTGGAATATATATTTAAACATTTAATACATACACATATATTTCATTTCATATGCTTTATTCCATCTAGAGTATACTACTTTAATTATTTTATTTGTGTGTACACATGTATTCATGTGGGTGGATGGGTATTGAGGCTAGAGGCCAATGCTGAGTGTCTTTTTCAATTGCTTCTGGCGTAATTTTTCCAATCTGTTATTTTATTGTGTGTGTACAGGTGTTTTGCATGCATGTATGCCTGTATACTGTATACCACATGAGTCTCTGTGCCCATGGATGCCAGCAAGGGGCATGAGATTCCACAGAACTAGAGTTACAGACACTGGTTAGCCAATATATGGATGCTGAGAACTGAACCTGAGTCCTCTGGTGGAGCAGCCAGTCCTCTTAACTGCTGAGCCAACTCTTCAGCTCCTCACCACATCACATTTTGAGACAGAATCTCTCACTGAACCTGAGCTCAACAGGCTATACAGGCTAATAATGAGTTCTGGGGATCTTCCTCACCTCCACCCTACCCACCCTCACCCCAACCAGTGCTAGGGTTACAAATGTGTACCACCCTGTCCAGCGTTCAGATGGGTGCTGGAAGCCCAGGCATATATTTGTATGACAGGCACTTCACAAACTAAACCATTTCCTCCCCGCCCCCAATATTTAAATCATTCAAGTGATGAATCCAAATTTGCTTTCACACCTCAGTTTCCATAGACTAAGACCACACAGCTTCAAATGATCAGTAGCTATATAATAAAATATCACAGGTTACCATTCAATTACTCTTAGTTTTCATTTCCCCCCTTGGTTGGCTTCTTTTTGGCTGTAAAATCAAGTGAGACTCTACCCCTCCCTAAAACTGATCTCTCTTAATGATTCCATCCTGCACTGTGCTCTCTGCCTCTTCCCCTTACTTCCCTGGGCAAACTTCTTCCAGGACCCCAGTAACCGACACCCAACTTAAATCCACCATTTTGTGCTCTCTACCCAGAAAAGGACCTGTTCCTTGGGCCCACCCACAAAAGAGCGCTCTCCAGCTCCCTACCTACCATCTGAGTTCCTCAGGGTCAAACAAGAAGAAAAGGGTTGGAGGGATCCCTCCCCTCTCCCAGCAAAGCACTCAGGAAAGTGCATGGGAGATTTCTGCCTCAGGCTAAAGAAACATGTTTCCTTTGGCAAGGATTCCTAACACACATTTAAGCTCATTGTCTGTGAACACCCAAGCAGCTATCTTCTTCATATACTGGTAGTATGACCAAGTTTTCAGAACAGTTTTAGATCTACTTTACTTGCTAAGGTGGCACGTGCTAAGACCAAAAGATCTTGCTCTCTTCCAGCCAAACAAAAGCTCCCGTCCTTTCAAAGGAACGTAAGACACCCTCTCCTAGAAGCAAGGTAAGAGAAATCTAACTTGATCTCTTTGTGGACAAACCCTGAAAAGAGCACTTCTGTGAACCCTATAAAGTAGGATATATTCCTCATTATTAATTACTAAATGTTATTGTATAAACCAGTTTTTTTCAATAAGAGTATAGATAAAATGTTTGAGGTTTGTGTTTATAAAGAAGAATGTTCTAAAGGTATCTCTGTGGATCCATATGTTAACCCTAGGTTCTCCATGTAATTAACTCTTTTTTTGTTTGTTCATTTCTTTGCTTGTTTTTGTTTTTGTTTTAAACGTGGTCTCAATATTCAGTATTCAGACTGTCCTGAAACTTGCTATGTACACCAGGCTGGCTTTGAACCCCCGGAGATCCTCCTGCCTCTGTCTCCCAAGTGCTGGGATTGAAGGTGTGTGCCACCACCACTGGCTCATAGTTAACTTTTATTAGTTTTACTTTTGTCAGGGCTTAACATAGAGAAAGTGGGGAAATCAGTGGACTTGTGGGATGTCCAAGTCTAGAGCATAGAGGTTACTCCTGATTGTGTTCAACAGTGTGCACAGGTGTGAACTGTTCTCTCTGCAGGAAAGACAGCTGTGGGAGGTAGCGGGCATGTTAACTTGCTGGGGTACAGTGACCATTGTGCCTCATAAAATAATGTTGTATACCTGACATATACACAGCAAAATTAATTTTAGCTAAGTATATGTGTTATAAAAGAAAGGAAAGGTAGAAGCTAGGGCTGAACCACACCATGATCACTTCTTTACAATAAAAAGAAAATTCTTGGATTAAAGGTGTGTGATAGGGCTCAATCACACCAAACAAGAAACAGGGTTTTACAGTTCACAGTCTCAGGGTTTACAATGGGATTAAACACCCTGCAATACCCATGACTGTAATCACAGTGGGAAAACTAAGGGAAGATGATCACAAGTTTCAGATGACTCTGGGCTCCATCTTAAAGAACCAAAATTCCTTAAAACACCATCATGGCAAAAACAAAACAAACAAAGGAAAAAACTTGGTGAGGAAAAAGAAAACTCTTCACCAATAAAATCCGGTACACACCTTAAACAACTCAAGAGACTTTTCAAAATTTTTATTTTTTGGAAATCAATAACGGGACTTGGTGGCATATTCCTATAGCCTGAGCTATTCCAGAGATGAAACTAGGAAGACAATTTGAGCCCAGGAATTTGAGATCAACCTTGGCATTTAACAAGACCACGTGATTGAAGAAGTATATGTGGTCCTCAAGAATCAGAAAAGAATTCTTGAAGGCAATGGCCCCTGGGCAAGGCTACAGGGAAGAGAGAGGCCTACCCAGGGAAGAGATAAGTGACAGGGCAGCTGAAGGAGTGCCAGAGCACACTTCAGGAAAGCCTTCAGAGTCACATGCACTGACCAGACACTAAGTGGGAGCTGATAAGGTGGTGAAGAAGGGGTGGAGAAACATTGCATATTTTGCATGCTATGGTGGGTATGTGTGAGTCTTAGCAGAAGGCAAGGAGGCAGCATTGCAGGGAGATCAAATACGGGAGAAAGCACATGTGCTCATAGGATATTAGCTCCACTCTGTCCTGCATTTGCTGTAGCCTGCCTTCATTAAAATCCCTCTGACTGAAGTTATCGCTCCATCCTATGGCTCACAGTTTCTCCTCTTCCTTCATCTGTACAATACTGTGCCTCTCACTGGCAGGGAGTTCCATACATCTACCAAAACAGCCAGCCCCTAGGTTGTTCATTTTTCTACATAAACCTAAATAATTAATAGATGACCCTGACTCTTCTTTCAAAACAATTTTGTGTGCATGTTAATCATCAAACAAAAGCATTACCTTACCTCCTCCTTCTCTTGTAATCCCCTTGTCTAACTTCATGATTCATCTTAACAGACTAAGACATGAGAAGAAACAGAAACACATCACTGGACACTGTGGTGACAGATTTCATTCTCCTGGGCTTGGCTCACCCCCCAAATCTGAGGACCTTCCTCTTCCTGGTCTTCTTCCTTATCTACATCCTCACACAACTGGGGAATCTGCTCATTCTGCTCACTGTGTGGGCTGACCCCAAGCTGCATGCCCACCCCATGTACATTCTTCTGGGTGTGCTCTCTTTCCTAGACATGTGGCTCTCCTCAGTCATTGTTCCTCGAATTATAGTAAACTTCACTCCCGCCAGCAAGGCTATCCCATTTGGTGGCTGTGTAGCTCAACTCTATTTCTTCCACTTCCTAGGCAGCACTCAGTGCTTCCTCTACACACTGATGGCCTATGACAGGTACCTGGCAATATGCCAGCCTCTGCGCTACCCAGTGCTCATGAATGGAAGACTATGCACAACCTTAGTGGCTGGAGCTTGGGTGGCAGGCTCCATCCATGGGTCTATTCAAGCCACTCTGACCTTCCGATTGCCCTACTGTGGACCCAACCAAATAGATTATTTCATCTGTGACATTCCTGCAGTGTTGAGACTGGCCTGTGCTGACACAACAATCAATGAACTTGTGACCTTTGTGGACATTGGGGTAGTGGCTGCCAGTTGCTTCATGCTGATTCTGCTCTCCTATGCCAACATAGTCCATGCCATCCTGAAGATACGCACTGCTGATGGGAGGAGGCGTGCCTTCTCCACCTGTGGCTCCCATCTCACCGTGGTCACAGTCTACTATGTCCCCTGCATTTTCATCTACCTTCGGGCAGGATCCAAGAGCCCCTTGGATGGAGCAGTTGCTGTGTTTTACACTGTTGTCACCCCATTACTCAATCCCCTCATCTACACCCTGAGGAACCAGGAAGTGAAGTCTGCCCTGAAGAGGCTTAGAGCAGGTAGAGGGAGTGTGGATGGAGAGAAAAAGTAGCTACTGGCTCAGGGACCACACACACCACCATCACTGCTGTGTTTTTAGTTACTGTTCATGTGACAGATATTTGATACATAGATAACAGTTTAAAATGAACTTGATACAAATCCACTAATACAAATGCTTCTTCTAATACTCTACAAAATCTCAATAATTTGCTCAGTTATTTTACATTCCTTGGTAAAAACATGTATTTTACACAAATGTTGATGGTGAGGGGTAAATATCTAAGCAGATTTGGGGAGAACAATTTAATAGGACTTCATTTCCTGCCATCTTTTTTGCTGCATCCGAACTCCCCAAGCTCTCAGTATCCAGGGCCCCTTTGTATAAGTTAAGGCAGACGTGTCCTCACTAGCATTCATTTGGGCTCTTTGGTGCCTTTGTGTATCCAACCAGCCTCTCCCTCTTTTCCATGTAGCCATTTTCATTCTGCCCCAGGAACATCACTCAGGCTCCTTGTCATTCTGTCACTCCATCCTTCACCATAGAGCTGCCAGAATTTCTTTTCTCAAAGTGAAAACTAAATATTTCATTTTTCTTCTCCTGAACATTCACTGGCTTTCCACTGCATAAGATAAAGATGGACCTTTTAGCATGGAATGCAAAATTTTTTCACATCCAATTCCAACATTTTCACCTCTCAAAATGTCTCTACCTCCTCATCTCTCTCATCCCCACTTTTATCTGCCATCACCTCCACATCCTCTATGCTTTCCCATATTTGAGACTTTGTTTCAGTTCCATATCTGAAATATGTTTCTGACTCCTCCATGTTGATTATCGGATAATTTATGCTTCATTCAAGACCTGGTCAAAAATTCTGAGACCTAAAGAAGCTTTTACTAACTCTCCTGGCTATAACTGCTACCTTCTCTGTGTAACTATAGTTTGTTGAACTCTAAAACGGCACTTTTCCTTGGCTACCCTCTATAATCATTTAGGTAGGAATCCTAAAGAGCAGAAAGCATGCTTCATTGCTGTTTGTGTTACAGCTTTACCAAATGACCTTCTTATGTACAAATTTCAAAGACACTGAGAAATAAATTAGGGAAACAATTCTTTATAGAAATTTAAAAAATTAACTTCATATAGAAACACAAAACTCAGTAAAGCTGAGACAATCCTGAATAACAAAAGAATTTATGGAGGTATCACCATCCCCAACCTCAAACTGTACTGCAAAGCTAATAGAAAGTACAAAAACAGACACATAGATTAATGAAATTGAACTGAAGACCCAGACATGAATCCACATATCTATGAACACAAACTAGGGGGGGGGGAACAGTCTTCAACAAAAGGTCCTGGTCAAACCGAATGTCTGCATGTAGAAGAAAGCAAATAGCTCCATATTCATCATCCTGTACAAAATTCAACTCTAGATAGATCAAGGACCTCAATATAAGGCCAGATGAACTAAACCTGATAGAAAAAAAAGTGGAGACTAGCCTTGATATCATTGGCATAGGATAAGACTTTCTGAACAGAGAAATTAGTTATTGGCACCATTATCTCAGGCACTAAGATCAACAATTAATAAATGGGACCTCACAGAACTGAAAAGCTTCTGTAAGGCAAAGGACACTGTCATGCAGACAAAGTGGCAGCCTACAGAATGGAAAAAGATTTTTACTAACTGCACATCTGATAGAGGACTAATACCCAAATATATAAAAACTCTATTTAAAGCATGGAACACGTAAAACATTTTTTTGCAATACCATTTTGTGTTCTACTAATCCAATATCTGCTGTTCATGTGCTCAGATACAATTATGTGATTGAGTGAGTTAACAGTCCTTTTTCAAATATAAGATATTAACATAATTGAGACCTAATAGGCTAGGGTCAGATTTAAGGGAAGGAGGACCTCCCCTATCAGTGGACTTGGAGATGGCCATGGGAGGAGATGAAGAAGGGAGGGTAGGGCTGGGAGGGAATGAGGGACAGGGTACAGCTGGGATACAAAGTGACTAAACTGTAATTAATATTTAAAATTGTAAATTAAACAAATTTAAAAAAGAAGAGTTAAAACAGCTCAGTTCTTGTGCTGTAAAGCTTGTTAACATAATATAATAGAGCCTCAATTATTTGTGAGATAGACAGGTGAGAAGAGAAACTGAGAAACAAACACAGTTTTATAAAAATAACTTTAACACTTCACAGCAGTAGAACATTAACTAAAACAGCATATAGCAACTAATGAGAAAAGAAGTCACAATTTGAAAGAGAGCAGAAAGGAATATATGAGAGTGGTGTGTGGGAGGGTTCAGACGGAGACAAGGAAGGAGGGAAATGAAGTAATTAAATTATAATCTCAAAAATAAACAAAATATTTTTCTTTTATAAAAGTATTTTTAAAATACAAGGAACATTAAGTTGGGTGGGCAGAGAAGGGGAATGATCTGGGCAAATCTGGGAAAGCAAGATGAATATGACTAAAACATAGTGTGTGGGGTCTTTTCTGAGACTGATACTCCACCAAGAACCATGTATGGATATAACCTAGAACCTCTGCTCGGATGTAGCCCCGTGGTAGCTCAGTAACCAATTGGTTTCTCCTAGTAAGGGGAACAGGGACTATTTCTGATAGGAACTCAATGGCAGGCTCTTTGACCTCCCCATCCCCCAAGGGAGGAGCAGCCCTGCTAGGCCACAGAGGAAGACTTTGCAGCCAGTCCTGAAGATACCTGATAAAACAGGGTCAGATGAAAGGGGAGGAGGTCCTCCCCAATCAGTGGACTTGGAAAGGAGCAGGGAGGAGATGAGGGAGGGAGGGTGGAATTGGGAGGGGATGAGGGAGCAGGATACAGCTGGGACACAGAGTTAAAAAAATATAACTAATAATAAAAAGAAAAAATAAAATAAAACACAGTGTGAAAAACTAGAAACTCTCAAATACTCATAAAAATAAGTTTAAATAAGTTAATAAATAATAAATCAAAAATATATATTGTATTGTGTGAATAATAGAAGGATATTTGTCAAGAAGACAAGTGAGACTATTGAGAGTGGGAGTCAGTCAGGAAAGGGAGGGGAGAATATTTGAAGAAATGTGTTCAATTGTTTTTATACTTGCAAAAAAACTTAATAAATAAATATGCTTAATGAAATAAACAAAAATAGTGAATGTCTTAGAGAATGCTTGAAATATTGTGCATGGGAGCCAGCAAGATAGCTTAGGAGATAAAGACACTTGCCACTAAGTCTGGTAACCCGACTTTGATTTCCAGAATCCACATTGTAGAAGGAAAAAACTCACCCTCAAAAGTTGTCCTCTGGAAGACAATGCAGCCACTCCTGATGATACCTGATAGACTAGGATCAGAAGGAAGGGGAGGAGGACCTCCCCCATCAGTGGACTTGGGGAGGGACATGGGTGGAGAAAGGAAAAGGAGGGTGGGGTTGGGAGGGGAGGAGGAAGGGAGCTACAAGGGGGAAACAAAGTGAATAAGCTGTAATTAATAAAAAGAAAAAAATGATTTAAAAAAAAAAGTTGTCCTCTGAACTAAACATGAGCACCTAATACCTGATCCACACACATACATATGCAAAAAGTATAAAATAAATAAATAAATGCAAACACATTTCACATGATAGATGGATCGGAAGACCTATAACAGAGCCAGGGTTGGTGACCACAACTGTAATCCTGGCGCAGGGGAGGTAGGGGAGGGAAGATCAGGAGTTCAAACTTGGTTTACACTTCGTGAGACTACAGTAGCAAAAACAAAATAAACTAGAAAATAAATACATTAAATAGCCTGGTGAGAGAGTCAGGTCTATGTTTCCCTTAGTCTATGAAGATCTATTATATGACCTTAGTCATTCAAAGAAAGCTTAGCTTCATAGTCTATGAATATGCTAGTACAAAACAATCTTCAGCTTTAATAACCACACTCCTCTCTCCTCTTCTCCTTTAGCCCCTTCCTCCTCTTTCCTCTTCTTTGTCCTCCACCTACTCCCACTCCTCACCACCTCTTTCTGCCCCTCCTCTTCCTTCTCCTCTTCCTCCAGTTTCAAGTTTTGTTTTTTTTTTTAAGATTTATTTATTTATCATGTATACAGTGTTCTGCCTGCATGTACACCTGTCCGAGAGAAGAGAGACCCAGATCTCATTATAGATGTTGTGAGCCACCATGTGGTTGCTGGGAATTGAACTCATGACCTTTAGAAAAGCAGCCAGTGTTCTTAACATTTGAGCCATCTCTCCAGCCCCTCAAGTTTTGCTTTAAGAGCAAATGAAAGCCAAAGATATGAAGTTATCAAGTCCTGAAAAGCCCCACAGACCTTTGTCCCCCTGGTATTATAAAACTGGTGAAAACTAGTGAGGAAGGGAGTCTCCCAGGAGACAGATTACAGACATGAATGTTGCCTTCTCACAGGGGTGCTGTTACGACAGTCCCCACACTAAAGAGCTCACACACTTAAGTGTCTCTGGAGACAACAAAGCAAACACCGACCACAGCCAGAACCACCTACAGTAAAGCATCGATCTTCCTCAGTCCACAAGCAGATGGGAGAAGAAGATCCACAAGTAATAAATAATTCAAGTTTCAGTATCTCT